GTGATTCTTCGAACGTCCAGTTACATTTTGACCACTCAATCGATCAGTAGCTAGTTGCTGCACATTCACTCGGATATACGGATAAAAATTTCCGTGAAAGAAGAAATTCTCAACGCCACAACTGATCTCATTTTGCATAAAGCAGCGTTGAACGACAGAATATACAATAAGAAATAAGAAATGAGCGCTTTTGTTGAAAAACCGAGAAATTTGCATTTCAGAGCTTTTGCAACTGTCGGATGCGGAAAAACTGCGTGAGCAGGAGCTGTCACTGCAAGGCGATGAATACTACGATGATAGCAGTAATCAGCGTTCACCAAATGCACCTTCGAAAACACCATCTGACGGTCTCTAGACGATATTATCAAGAAATTTTTGTTCCGTTAAATTATTTTTTTAGATCACTGAGTTGATAAAAGTTTCGGCTGATAAGCAACAACAAACCGAGTAATCGTGATCGTAGTTTATTCCAAATAACCGCTTTTGTTTCCTATCGTTTCAGTTTTGAATCCTGAACGTCTCATTCAGTTTCATTTGATGTTGTTTCGGTTTTGTTGATTAAGCAAACATAAGAAAAAAGTCGTTGGTGATGGACGTTTGATCGAATTTAAGAAATTCTTCCAGAAAAGCAGCGTGCCGCTTCGGCCATTCCACGTCCAAGTATTTTGTCGTTCTCACCAGCACAATCGGAGCTGAGGTCACAGGAAGTTAGGGTTTTGTTCAATACTGCTCAGTAGTTACTTCGCTTCGTTACATCAGTGCGAAATATTGCATGCTTTTCATTCAGATCCTGCGAAGAACATTTCACCTTGACATGTCTATTTACTTCTTCATCAATTACTTGGACGGAGATCATTCCATTCCTCGTCATATTTACAAAAACTTCAAATGAACTTTTAATGGCCCAAAAGTACGAATTCAATCGAACGAACTGAAAAATTCCTTCATTTTTGGAGTTCAGTACTCTTCAAGGAGGGATCGCAGTCTGAATTCTAAAATTTTCAGGAAGATATTCTATCCGGTACTTCAGGCTCCACATCAAACACTTTGTTTTTCACACCGTCTGACAACGTGCCAGCTCAATTCCCAACTTCTGATGATCAGAGCCGATCTCAAGTGGACACGAAACCGACGTGAGGCTTTGCTGGATGTTTTGATGCTTGCAACGATCCTATTGCACTGAATGCTAAATGTATTCCTGTCTCAAAACTCCATAGATACAAGCATTTGCCCTAACTCCCAAGTTCAGCTGCAATACGTTTCGTGAAAGATGTTTGCGAGTAAATATTGCCTAATCTATGTGATCATTTATATTCGTGAAAATGATCGATGAACCATGAAACTTTTCAGTCAGTTTATTAGGAGGCGTCATGGAGAGCTGAGAGATGTGGAATCATTCAGTCCGATTCGAAAGCGTTCAATCAGGTTCACAAAGCGTGCAATGACCGACACACAAGATTCTGTCGACATGGATTCAGGCAACGAATGGTAGGGTGTTTTTCGAGTATTTTGCACATCCTAACTTTGAAATGACTTCTCGTAGCAGCAGATCAATACAAATCCCACAAACAATCCTGTAATCTTTCTCAAGCGTAACGTATTAGATGACAATGACAACGCATTACCATTAATTTTCTTAGCGACAAAATGCGATATTTCGATGCCGTTTTAGTGCTATATTCGTCACTGATGAGTTCTTTCGAGCAAATAAATAAATGTGCGAATGTGATCACATAGAATATAAACAGTCT